TACACGATACTGCAGTGTATGTCAGCAACTTGTGAGCCTTGTTGCAAGCTAAAGAGAGGCCAGTATCACTGCCCATTGTGCCCACTAACCTTCGCCATTCCATCTCGTTTGAAACAACATTACAATAAGGTTCACTGGGACCACAAAATAACAGTCCAAGGTTAGTATTGAAAGAATATCTTAGTTTTTTTATGAAGCCTAAAGAAGCTGGAATATAGTTGGAATATATTGATATTTACTTGATAACTATAAAGACATCATGATAAATACTTTGAGCATAAGTTTCGCATTTCACTTAACTTATTAAAAGGCCAAATTGATTCCATTTTGAAGCAATTTTTTTATGGAATTATAGATTCTTTGCCTCATCAGTTTCACCATATAGCTATATCACCATCATGTGACGACCGTCATGACAGGGATCAGGAACAAAGCAATTTGGCTTAAAATCATTTATTTTTATTATTGAATTTTTTTAATATTCATTTTGATWTATTCATTCATTTTTTGATTGATTTATCTACTCTTATTTCGGGCATGTTTGGAGAGGTGGTTTATTGGAAAACGAGGATAAATAAAGAGGGGTTGATTTTGATATTTTATATCCTGTCATTGAACTCAAGACTTCAATAAGTCACATTCAAGCAGTGAACATGTTAATTTTGTTGTGAACGGAAAGGGGAGGAGATTGGCTGTAAAGAGGAAGTGGGGCATAATAAATTTCTTTCCTTGAGAAGGGGTTCTTATTCAGTGAGGGGGGAGAGATGGGGGGGATAAATAAAGGATTTACAGTCAGACTTAAATTATTGTGTTTTCAATTATCTATTTGTTTTCATTGCATTTAAAGGATATAATATCCTCCGATGTGGCAAAGAGTGTGTTAGAATTGGACCAAGAAAAGGGACTGACGCGATCAAAGGAGCCCACTACCACTGCTTTGGATGCCCAAATTTATTYAATCGAACAGAGCGTGCCACAAAGCACTATGCAATTCACCAAAATTCAACCCAATCACAGATTACTCAGCCATCATCTTCTTCAGTCAAATCAAAACCATGTCATACTTATCAAGATCAAGAAYCYTATTCTCAACTTTCTGATTTTCCAAATTTTACTAATGTCGAATTAACCAATATTGCACCTAATACTTCTYATTCTTTAAAAGGTGCCAGTGTGGATAAGGTTGCATGCCAATATTGTGGCAAAAAGCTCCATCCACACTCTCTCAAATCCCATATAGACACCCAGCACTCTGATGAAGCCAAACTGATCATCTCTCCCTATCGCTACCACAAAGGTGTCTGTGTTGATGCTCATGAAGGTGTCTACTTCATGCGCAGAAACTTAAGTGGACCATCTTATGCAGTCCATGTGCAATACTGTCCAAATGGGAATCCACCGAAAGTACTTTGTCAGCTGACAGAGTGTCAACAGGTGATGGACACAGCAGCWAGAAGTGGTGATATGGGATATTTATGCAAACACTTGCTGTCTGTAGCATACATACCAACTCAGTTACCTCTCATCYGTCCCCTGAATACCAATAGYTTAGACCTTCTGATCAATACCAAGCTCCTTAAACAAAGCAGCAAAGTGGAATGCTTAGAGTACCAGCTCAAGGCAATTAATGAAGGGGTTCCACTGATTGTTCCTTTGCCTGTTGAAACTCTCATTAACAGTCAACCATCCAAACTATGCTTCAGTGTTTGGGTVAACCAAAGAAAGCGTTGGTGGTCCTTCAACAACCGTGTGTCAGTGACCTTTGACTGTCAGGAGAGGATCTGGCACTGTAAGCATGTGAAAGGCATACAATCATGCATCCACAAAACTATGGTCAAATGGTACATGGCTGAACATATGCCAGAGTTGTTGGGATGTGCCCATAGTTCTGTGGATGATGAAGATAATGATGATTGTGATGAGAGATCACTTGATGATGACGACCTGGTTGACGATGAGACTCTTGACCCTGTAGCTCCTCAGCCAT